TGAGGCCTGGGCCGCCATCAATGGTCGCTGGCTCAATGATCGCTGGCTGGCTCCTCCCTGGCCCAAACCTAAAGCCTCAGGCCGAGGTTTTAGGCCTGGGCCGGGCCACCCCCAGCTCCCTGCCGCTGCCGCCATCAAGCATAGCTGGCTGGCTCCGCCTGGTTCCCTGCCGCTGCCGCCATCAATGATCGCTGGATGGCTCCGCCCAGGCCCCAGCCTAAAGCTTCAGTCTGAGGCTTGGGGCTGACATATGCAAATTAGCCGCCATCTTGGCTGTTGGCTAATTTGCATATCTCACTGATTAGCCAATGAAAAGGGTAGCGGTCGTACGCCAATTACCATCTTTCTCTTTTATTATATAGGATACTGATTCTTCATTGCAAAAGTCTTTTCAAGTTTGCACTTCTGTACTCTATTTAGCAGGTGTTTCTTATTAAAAGACATTGGCATTTTGTTAAATACGACTGAGTAGCATAGTAGAGAGATGTTAACAGGCCTGCCTATTGGGGACTAAATGGCCATTTGTATACCTCCCTTCCCCCAGTCATAGTGACCACTAGAAAGGCCCCTATGTATTTTCTTCTTTTTAAATATAATTTTATTGATTTTAGAGAGGAAGGGGAGAGAGAGAGAGAGAGAAACATCAATGATGAGAGAGAATGATTGATCGGCTGCCCCCTGCCCTCCCCACACTGGGGATGGAGCCCACAACCCAGGCATGTGCCCTGATCGGGAATTGAACCATGACCTCCTGGTTCATAGGTTGATGCTCATCAATGAGCCACACCAGCCAGGCCCCTATAGATTATCAGATGATCCCAATTAGGTACTTTTTTGGGTGGCTTTGAGCAAAGAGACATGCATGTCCTTTCCCAGTAGTAGATGTTATGGGAGGATGTTAATAGGTGGTTCTCCAATTGAGAACCACTTCTGCATATTTGTAAGGCCTCATTATTTAGGCAGCATATCATCATTTATGTCTAAGCATTTTCCTGAATAGAATGAAGCATATAACAAAATGCCACATATTTCCTATACTTAGTAACTTGAACCCTTATTTAAAACCCAGTCTAAGCATATTGCAAACTCTAGTTATAGCTTAATTATTTTTAGCTCAAGTTAACCTCCCAGTCCCCTCACATTTGTTTCTGCCTTAGCAGTTTTGCCTTCATATATTAGTAGCTTTTATTCTTTTCCTAACTTTGGCCTTTGTTTCCTTTTTCATGTCACTGTAAATATGTATATTAAGAATATTCAAGTATGAATATTTCTTGAAAATCAATTTTTAGAATCTCTTAGGGTTATGTTAACATTAAATGATGTAAAAACAAAATACTATATAACCTTCATGGTAATGTTTTTTTATTATATCACATCTGTTTATTTTTTAGAGAAGTGATGAGCATTGATAAAGCATTTTGCTTATAGATATATATTTTTTCTAATATTAGTTGACCAGCACAAGAATTTATTTGCTTTAAATAGTGTTTAGCCTTAGCCGGTTTGGCTCCTTGGATAGAGTGGCTGCCTGCGGACTGAAGGGTCCCAGGTTCAATTCCATTTAAGGGCACATGCCCAGGTTGCAAGCTCGATCCCAGTGGGGGGCGTGCAGGAGGCAGCTGACCAATGATTCTCTCTCATCATTGATGTTTTTATCTCTCTCTCTCCTTCCCTTCCTCCCTGAAATCAATAAAAAAAAATATATTTAAATAGTGTTTAGAAAACTAAGAATTACTTGTTTTCTTTTTTAGGTGCTTAATAGAAATAAAACACAAATGGTTTCTGTAATTGTGCATATACATTTTGTATTCACAATACAATGCCTTTCTTTGGGAGCTTGTAGTCTTTAAGGAGATAACCATACATATCATAATTTGAGCATCTATTGTCTTGGTCATTGTTAATGTGAAGCGAAAAGTAATTGCTAAATAGAAATTCTGAGAAGCAAAAGGACTTATCTTTGATTTCAATAGTATACGAAGCTCTGTTACACGAAGTGGGGTTTTAAGAATGATCTTATGGAAGACTAAACTGAAAAAAATCCTATGAGATGTAGAGTGAGAATGAATGATATGTCTTCAAAATGAATATCTCAATCTTAATGTTTTATTGTAGTTTCTCTGGTGAAATATCTGCATCTAAACAGGTGAAAAAAATTTTTAATAATTTTTATTGATTTCAGAGGGAGAGGGAGAGAGATAGATCAGCTAGGCTAAATAAGTAAAAAATTTTATAATTTAAAATAAAATAAACTTTAAGATTATTTAATTACTTAAATAATATTAAATTTTTGTGCAATAATTTTTTGAACAGTCAATGTTTTTTTAAGATATATTTTTATTGATTTCAGAGAGGAAGGGAGAGGGACAGAGAGACAGAAACATCAGTGATGAGAGAGAATCATTGATTGGTTGCCTCCTGCACGTTCCCCCCCACTGGGGATTGAACCCGCAGGCTGGGCATGTGCCCTTCACCAGAATCAAACCTGGGACCATTCAGTCCACAGGCCAACACTCTATCCACTGAGCGAAACCAGCTAGAACTGTGCAATAATTTTAATGGTTGTTTTAATGTTAGGCTAATGTTTACTTAAAATGACAAAAGCAACTGTATTTTAAAAGAATTTATTTTTAAGGAAATTTTCAAATTATAGGGCTTTTTTTAAAATATAGGTTCCAAAATGACTTTATTAATTTCATTTGAGAAAACAGAATAAAAATTCCTTTATCTCCCCTGAAATGATATTTAAAAACTTTTATTGAAAATCATCTTCTTTCTCTCTCTATGACAGTAGGAGCAATAAAGAACTCATTAAATATGAACAGAGAGATCATTTTAGTGCCTAATAGACTTGAAAAAAACTGAACATTCATCTCAACGTGACTTGGAAACTTTGTGTTTGATGTTTTCTTAGAAATTTGCTGCCCTGGCTGGTGTGTGTGGCTCAGTTGGTTAGAGCATCATACATAAACCAAAAGCTGGGGCGTTTGGTTTCTGGTCAGGGCACATCCCAGATTTTGGGTTGGATCCCCAGTCATGGCGCAAGAGGCAACTGATTGATTGATTGATGTCTGTCTCTCTCTCTCTCTGTCTCTCTCTCTCTCTC